CACACACACACACACACACACACACACACACACACACACACACACACTTCAGTTGTTTTGTGGGGCACAGAATCAGCATCATTGACCATAGATAAGCATCTTTTAGGTTGATGTGCTGACTGCAGCAGCCTGAAATGAAAGAGCTGAGGAGAAATAGCTGCGATAAAAAAAACATTAAACTCATTAAAGCATAAATGGCACATTATAAGGAAATGATACTTGACCCCATGAGAAAAATAATCAATTCTGCGCAAGTGTGACATTTGTTTTACACGAGCAGCTAAATTCAGTGGCATCCAAAAAGTTCATATTTGATAAACATTCGGTAAGAAGAACAGAATCCCGTCAGAAATATACAAACATAATAGTCATGCCAAGGAAGGAAGAATGTGGAATATCCAAGCAACATCCACTTTAAATAGTTTTGTGTTACATCCAATAGTATAGCCTCAGACCAAACTATTCAGTGTCCAACGTAGTTTAATTATATCACTGTTCCAAAAAAGAAAAACGTGAATATTCAAAACAAATGAGAAAAGAGGAAGAGATAGCAGGGAAGGAGGACGTAAAGGGAAGTAAGATGGCAAAGAGGAAGCGGCACAGAGACTGAAGAGAGGATTTGTTGAATAGAAAGGGGTTCAGTTATGGATAAATGGTATCAGCTTTCATACTGCACGAGAATCACAAATCGAAAACAAGGAAAGAAATCTTCAAAAATCCTATGGCCAAATCATTGTGAGTTTGCAGTTGTCTTAATTCTCCTTTTATCGTCAGCACTTAATTAATGTTAAGGAGCAGTAGAGGTGCGTTTTAGTAGGTTTGACTGAAGCTACTAGGATTTGTGAAGCATTATGAAGGTTTCGTGATGTCTTGCGACCCGCCTGTCTTCGGTGTTACATGCAAGCCAGCATCTGATTCCTAAATATGAATGCTTCTCTATTCACACCCTACGATAAGAACTTCAAACCTTTACAAAAATAACTCCATCAGAGCTAAGTCCCTGACATTGTGAGGTTAGTGTATCAAATAAGCCTTGTGTGCAAGCATAGCCTTCTATCAAAAGCTCAGAAAAAGGGGCTCCAGCTGAGCGTGCTGATGGAAATAATATTCTGACAGGTGCTTGATGAGAGCCACACCGTCTCCATCAAGCTAAAGTGGAGCATGCCCAGCGCAAAGCCACACACCATATCAGTTAGGTGGTGTTTCCCCAGCAGCACCCGGGACACACCCACCAGGAGGGCCCACAGCACCAGCAGGATGCGTAGCGGCACAGCCAGGACCAGGTGAGATAGCAGGAACTTGGAGACCATGGCGGCCCGGCTGGCATGAGCAGCGGGGAAGGAGTAGAGGTCCATCGCAATGCAGTCCAAGAAGCTCGGTGCCATCTCCCAAGGTCCTTTGCGCTTCACCAGCCTCTGGACTCCAGCCACCGTCAGGATGTCAACAATGAGGGCTGTGGGGGAAAAAAGAGAGTTATTAAATAGGCTAAAAAAAATGTATGAAATGCTATAACCTAGACAATTCCAGTGGTGAAAGATTAAGACTCTGAGTTTTGATAAATCTGTAAACAATTCAGGACAGAAGAATAGTGATAAGTCTATTGTACAGATAATTAACATCCAAGAGTAACAAACTGCCTCAGTGGACTCGCTGTCTTCAAATAAAGCAGAAAACAACTATAGTACATCTGTAAACAGATATCTTGGGGACCAAGAATAACCAATAAGGCATACAATACCGTCTAGCATTTGCTTTGAGCCCACATACCGGACATTTGCAGATGCTTTTTATAGCTCCATGGCACTCCCAAAAATATCCCTACCATTGCTGTCTTTAACTTCTGTTCAAGCCTGCCATCTTTATGCACACTCAACCAGCCACGCGCAAAATAAAGGCAGGCTAGTGGGGTGGAAGAGAAATCTAGTCATGTCTGTTTGTTACCGTCATCATCCATGCAGGCCTCAAAGACAGTACAAGGAGTTGGGCATTCAGAGTACACCAGCCTCACTTATCTGATCTCATCTGGAGAAGCAACGATAGTGATGTCATGGATTATGTTGCAATCACATCTGCATACCTGAAGCATCTACTAGTTGGCTAAATGTTTCCTTTTTGAATGAATGTATATATATGGAGTAACTAAGTTACACAGTAGAAGAAGAAACCAAAGCAGAGCTACACCTCGGTTGATAAAGATGAGAACATCCTCTGCACAGTCAAGGTCTGCTTCGGGAGTCTCGGACATGTTCAGTAGTCTTGTCGACAGTCCCAGTCATTTCAAAACACTGTATGGGAAATATTTCTGCACTGCAGTTTATATGCTGATGGCAGTAGATTGAATTAAACCAAACCTGACAGTCCAGTCTGGGCTGATTACTTCCCTGTTAGGTGAAAACAAAACAGAATTTCAGTCAGCGTTAAATATTAATTCCCCACCACTGTTCAGCATGTTCGTAGATTTTCTCCAGACAGACCTCAATAGACTAGAAATGATCCTGGAGCGACAAATAATGAACACGCATTTGTGGCTGAATAATGTCAAAAACACAATGCAACAGTCTCCTAAATCCAGAGATTTACTGGCTTCCAATCAGAGCTTAAAGTAGGATGCAACTCTGCAGAAAATACTTTGGACATATTTGTCATTTTGCGTCAGTACTTGATGGATGGCATCTATTGTTACAGTACATATTGGTACAGTGTAACTCATAATAAGAAGTTGCATCAACACCAGGAAAAAACGCAATATTAAACTCCTCCCCTTTAATACATCATATTGACTTTACTGAACAAAAATGTTGACGTTCTGTCTTGTTCTTCTTCCAAAGTCTGAATTTTGCTGATATTTCTTCTTTTCTCTGTTGCTGAGGAACAATCATCACAATGTGTATAACATGCCAATCAGAATGATGCACAAGGTCTATTTTCTATCATTAAGTGTCTGAGTTTGAAAACACAAACTGGTACCACTTTCTAACAAGCCATACCTTATATTTAAACCTTTTAGCCAATGGCTTTATAATGGTAAATAATACATTCATTGATACTTTATAGAGCAGTAATAAGTCAGTTATAAGTACAATTTGTAGGTGTTCATGTTGTGGAGACCCGTTTTTAATCCCAAGATCTATATATACAAAACAAAAGATGTATTAATCATTCAAAATGCAACTTATGAACCCTTATTAAAAATGTATGTTACTGTATGGCTGGAGCATTTTTTTGCAGTTACAACACAGTGGAGGTTGACACAGCTGGCTGTTTTCACAGGCCAAAGACAGAATGTGAATTATAGCTTCACCCAGAAAAGGGAAAGAAGGTTGTGAGCGCATGCCATTCTAGTGACTTGCTTCTCTTGTGCGGTGCATTCTGGGTACCGAACTGCTACTGAAAGTTTTGGAGCTGGTTAGATGGTGAGTGTGGTGTGGCATTTACCAAGCAGCAGGTTGACCAGCACCTCTTGCCCTGCCAGAGTGTTACTCCTCGTGAGGCACACGATAGTGCCAATGATCCACGTGATGCCGTGCCCCGTGAGCGCCAACATGCCCACCATGGAGCGGCAGCCTCCCCAGGAGGAGGACGTGTTGGCGCACGCCCCCATGCGCTTGGACAGGCAGATGTCGATGGCGAGGAGGGAGTTAATCGCTATCCCCTTGAATGAAGGGTTCAGCTGCATGCAGTCTTCCTCTGGCATTTTGGTGCCATTGTCGGCGGGCTCTTCACTCGGCTGGCTTGTTTGGTGCTTGATTTGACCCGGTCGCCTTGCGCCGCCTCGGCTCTCGGAGGGGCCGCCAGCACCGCCGCCGCCGACGGCGCCACCGCCGCGGGGAGGCTGGTTCAGGGATACGAACTCCGGTCTGCTCAGGACGCTGTTTCTCTCCCGCGCCCTAGATCTCACATTGTAACTCGAGGGCATTGTTTTGGATAGGGCCAAGCTCTCCTCTGTGGGCGCAGCAGCCGATTGTCAATCTCCTGAAGATGATTCAAGTGGTGCGAGTTCACCACGACAGTGAAACGTCCCAGGATAAACCCCCCTACACAAGTCCTCCCCCTCCTGTGGCCTTAATAGATATATTTAGAATCACTGGAATGTGCGATGGCCATGCTGTTTATACCGCAGCCCATGCACGCTGGGAGAGACCTATTGAATGGCATTCGCCTCGGCCAATCCAGTGAAACCCGATCTACAGCATGGAGATAAAATAACAACATGAGCGTCTCGTTACGCCACAGCATGGCACAATCACACGGTAAACAGGTGCTTTTACTGCGCGTACTGCTGACAACAACAGGCTCAGCGTAGGAAATGTGCAAGAAATACGCAACACACGGTGTCGTCTTACCAAGCGAAGGATGAATACGAAGCACAACGCATCACTCTAAATCTGCCTCCATAACACCTCTGATATCCTGGCGGCAAGGAGAGATGGGGGGGATCTAGCATAAAGCGACGCGGGCAAAACCCTGAAACGGTTAACCGTCAGCACAACATCCCCAACAAAGGGCGAAGACGAGGCAGCCCAGCCACAGTGCAGCATTCGGTACTTCCGTGCGGATTTTACGTAGTTTACGCATAAACCCGATTCCACCTCTGCAGTGCTCTCTGCTGTGGAGCGGAGTTGTCCAAGGTGCTTAAATAAACAGTAGCAGGACCGAGGAGCACCCTATTGTGATGTCAGCTTTATTGAGAGAGAGAGAGAGAGAAAGAGAGAGAGAGAGAGAGAGAGAGAGG